AAACAATTCCGACGAAATATCTTACTCTTCTGACGACAAAGAGGTTGTCACTGATGTGACTTTTATTTTTTGCTAAAAACAACTCCCGGAAAACTTCATCTAATTTGAAAATTCTCTTATAAAATCTCTCCAAAGACTCTAATCGCTCCAACCTTGTTCTATATTATAAACCTATTCTCACGAAACTGGTAAATTTCTTCTCAACTTTTTCTCGATCATCACGAAATGGAGCATAGCAGTTTAATATATGAACCACAGTTTGTACTAGTTTAATATATGAACCACAGTTCGTACCAGTTTAATATACGAACCACAGTTTGTACCCGTATTTCAAGGAAGAAGTCTAACCCTCTCATGGAGGTCACCAAACATTGACCTAAACAGCGACACAGAAGTCGTTCAAAGCCAAAGGATAAACCTTATAATTATAGACTTGTTTCACAAGCTGTCTAGGTAAACGTTTAGAAAAAGAATATTGTTACTAACAGATCCGTCACGGTTTTAGACATTAATAACAGATTATCCAAAATTGAAAATGTTTATCAAAAATCTATGCAAATTAACGATAATTTAATAAGACTAACAGAAACTATAACTGGAAGTTTCAATAATCCAATATATTGTCCCTGTATCTTTGATGTCCAGAAAACTCTTGATGACCTGCGGTTCCAACTGAAACTTCTGCTGTATATTATCCGTTTGATTTCCAGCTTCATTGACGATAGGAAACTTACTTAATGTGAGGGCACATATTCAGAATCTGTAAACCGCAGTGTCATAAACTTGTTCACTATTAGACTTTTTTATCACACGTGTAAGTGATGTAATGGAAATATATGTGAGAGTTAGAGTTTCCTCTATGTATACATAGGTAAATATTACACCTAAACTTATCATATAACTTGATGTAAAATGTCCGCAGTGAGTCGGTTCAGTGGTAAGTTTCCTGAATTACAGTACTAAAATCCGGGGTTCATTTCTCCGCATTGGACTGAGCGGGGAATTGTGTAGCTTTGCATTAAAAAAGAACCATCAACAACCACTTAATGTAAAAATACTTTAAATATATTAAATGTTGTTAGGCATAAAATGAGATTTACAAATATTTTAGTTCTATTTATTAAGATATGAGCAAGCCATCGACACTTAACAATATATTTAATGGTCTAGTACTTATTTATAAACTCCTGCCAAAAATGCTTTCCACACTATTCAGTCAGACAAGAGTATCTCATGGGTTGGTAGTGGGTGCTGCTAACTGCCTTCCTTTATGTCTATCAATTTAATACTAAGGCCCCTCCCTCGGTCTGAGAAATTATAACGCTAAATATGAAGTTTCGATACGCGTGATGGGCGAAGCATATATATTCCAGTATATAGTTTTTTGGTTAACAACAAAGAAACAATATTACGGCCGGCGTAGATAGCCCTTGCCATTTTTGGAGCAGTAAGCCTAGTTTTCTCCTGTCAATATTTTTAGAAATATACACAGCACTGAGTTCAGCAAGAAATAAGTGTATATATAATTACAAGGTTGGGTTTGTTTTGAATTTCGCGTAAAGCTACACGAAGGCTATCTATGCTAGCTGTCCCTAATGTAGCAGTGATAGAATAGAGGAAAAGCAGCTAGTCAACACCACCCACCGCCAACTCTTGGGATACTCTTTACCAACGAAATAGTGGGATTAACCGTCACATTATAACAGCCCTACTGCTGAAAAGACGAGCATGTTCGGCGGTGGAGATTCGTACCCGCGACCCACAGATTGCCAGTCGAGCGCCCTAACCATCAGGCTATAAGGTTGGGAAAATCATATTGGGGCTTTATTGCAATGCTCAATAATAAACAACCGTTTTTGTCAAAATATGGAATAAAACAGACTAGTAACTAAAAGGTAAAACCCATTAACCTTCAGTCGACTAGGAAGTAATATTCACTAAGGGAGAATCCATAAAGTACGCAAGCACAATTTGGCTTTTTTAAATCTCCCTAGTGCGCAGTTGTACCTTTTGCTCAGACCTCCACCCTTTTGTACATACTCTTATCGATTACCCCTTATTAGGTTAGATTAGATAATGAAATACAATAATAATAAATTTCTTAACAACGTGTGCTTACGAGCATACAACTGTCTGCTGGCGCGTCGCGTTGGTTGTATTTATAGTCGAGTGGAGGCTTTCTAGAAATTTCAGTTTTACGTAACAATACAAATTTAAGTGTTT